TGAAGGATAAGAGAGAAACCATTAGTACAGCATTTCTGCAGTGCTTGCTAGTTATGACCATTTATTGGGATAGACTCTAGAGGATATGAGACGCTTCCCTGCAGGCCCTCAATGTCCTGCCATTTCCTCCACACCCAGGCCCTATACCGCAGCAGCTAAGAAAGGCTCAACGGGATTCCCAGCTCAGCTGATGTGGGCAAATGGGCGTGCAGGGACCAGGGCACATTCTCTCCTGTTCCAATCAGCAAAGCCAATTTGGGGGGGGGGAAGCAAAGGGGATTTGGCCAGTGGGCATGAACATGGCAGAGTCCAGTAAGAAGTACCCTGCACCAAAGACTGGACCAACCTAACTCAAGAGGGAACATGAGAACGCCGTTGCTGTATATCCTCCTCCCTAGGAGGAAGGGCCCACAAATTTGGGGACTGAGCCTTGCTCATGTTTTTCCAAGGTAAGGGCAGTGTGTGACTGTGTGCACTCCCACTATTGCTTGAAATGGACAATAATGGGCCAATAGTTCATAACCAGCAATTTCACTCTGGGTAGCACCATTCCTATATACCGCGAGGGCCCAAACACATCAGAGCTTAGCAACAGAGATACAGTTAAAGCAGTAATCCAGGAAAAGCCAAAACTAGGGGACATGCACAAGCCAGAAGAGACGGTCACAGCTACGGACTTTCAGCTGTAAAATCAGAGAGAGGCAAAGATCCAGGAAGGCTGCTACAGGTGGCAGTATCAGCAAAGGAGAAGCACGAACAATGGTGTGACTGTGAAGCAACGTAAGAGGCCCATGATCAGAGGAGAGCTGGGCAGCTTTGAGTCCATGGAGTTTTAAAAACAAGGAGGGATACCACAGAACTGGCTCCCACACGAATGAGTAAGCGTTTAAGGATGGGCTCCTGCTCCGTATGCGCAGAAGGGGATGTTGCATTCTGCAGAGGCTGGAAACGGGCATGCTAAGGAAGGGAGCTGCAGCAGTTAAGGGAGAGGAAATGAAGGCCTGGATGAGGACTGCAGCAGAGGGGCTCCTGGCAGCAGCGAACACAAGCAGGGGGGAGGGGTGGAATATGCCGATTTACAGCCACAGAAACAGGGAAGGAAGAAAATTCTCCAAATCCAAAGTTATGGCCAGTGAGGACAAGTGGGGGGCTGGCACCATGGGGAGCAATGGCAGAGATGGGCTCTTGCGTGACCAGTTAGCGAAGTGTGTGCTCATCACCCCATCTGATCATGACAGAGGGCCCAGCAGGTGCAACACATATGATCACTAGTTGCTGACATATAAAACAAGGTGGGTAAACAAACATTCTTCTCAGCACCGATGACTTACCAAGACAGACCCTGAGTGCTGGAACACCTCAGGAATCTCTGCCCCAAAGCACTGACGGGCAGCTATGTGGAGTGGAAGGAACACAGGGAGATATGCAGTGTGCACAGAGCTTACATTGGCAAATGGCTCAGGGTAGCTGCCTCTTTAATGGTGCTACCATCCTCGCTGGGAAGCCTCAGCATTTTAGGGTCTCCCCTGCCACACAAAAAAGCTGTATTGTAGGACCTTGTGTGAGTTTCAGGCCAGGCCTCGACAGCGCCACCATGACCATAAACCAAAGTTAGTGCACAGGTTTCTGTGCTGGGTGTCGTTTCCTGCCACTGGCAGGGTGTGAATCAGGCACTTCCTCAGGGGATGGGATTAAGCAACAAACACTTGAGAGAAGCCACAACAAAAAGCTTAAGAGATGAAGAAACAGACTCACTTCCCCTTTCCGAACCAGTTCCCAACGCACGTCACCACGGATGGCCAGCCAGTCGTCTGCACCAAACCATTGCAGATCTAGTGGGGAGAGAGCAGGTGTGTCAAGATGCCATGCAACAGAGTCACAATGTCAGACTGGGCTATCCCCTGCCCCCGTCCCTGGAAAGTTCAGTCCTCCTCTGGGAGGGAGGTGTTCTCATTAGCCCACCACACATATCCACCACCCGAATCAGAAAGAAAGCAGTGCCTTACACCCTGACCATGCTCAGGCCATTCACCCCAGCCAGCTTCCCCACCAAAGAAGAAGGAGAAACTCTGTCTGTGGTGCCCAAGTTAAAGGCATGCCAGTCCCACCCTCTCCATGCAGTGGCAGGGAAGGCCAATGAGTGGTGCAGGTACACTTTCACCCATCCAGTAAAGGGAACTATGCAGGGCAGGTTTCAGAAGCGCTACAAGGACATTCATGGAGCTACCATAGGAAGTAGGCCTCCATCTGGATGGAGCTGCAGGCATTCACTGCATAGGGACATGACATCCACTAGCTCCTGTTGTCTCTATGGAGCTCTGCTTGTAGTGGAAGAGGCTGTTTCCTTCACTGAAGAGAAACACTGCAGTGCTCTTTGGAAAACACCAGTCCCGGATTCCAAAATGGTCAGGCCAAAACCAGAAGCCTGAAGTTCAGATCCCAAGTACATATTTTGACTCCTAAACAAAGTGGCTGATTTTCAAACATGCTGAGCACCCAACAGCCCCCTGGTAATTCAGCACTTCTGACAAGCCAGGACATTTATTCCAGAACCCAAATACAGATTTGGCAGATTAACTTTAGGTTCCTGCTTTTGAAAATTGTGGCCTTAATCCTCAGAACCCCTCACCCCATGCAGTAGGCTGGAGGTGTGCAGAAGCAGGGAGCTTGTCACTTGCCCAAGGTCATGCAGCGAGTCAAAGAGAGAGCTGGGATTAGAACTCCTAATCCCTGGCTCCAAGATCAGCCCAATATCGCCTCCCTTGTGCCCAGGGCTGACTGCTCCAGTATGTCTGGGATGCTGAAAGCACCCACGCTTTTCAGTGAGTAGCTGGTAAGTTTTCCCTGCTGGACCATTTTACATGCATCAGGAACGTAATGTACCCCACCTGAAGGCTGGGAATCCCTGCAGTGCCTAGCAATGCTTTCTCAGGCGTTCGGTGATATCTCTGTCTGAAAGTCATTCCAGCAGCAGAACTTTCCATTTAAGTTGCCCTATTTCAATACCACAGTGTTTTCCAACTGCCCTCCCCACCTAGGGAGTGAGGAGAGCCTTGGATCTAAGGCACGAGATTACTGAGAAGGTTCTCAGTCTGCCACTAACTCGCTGTGTAACCTTGGACAAGCCACTTCTCTCTGCTCCCTCATTTTCCATTGGTAAAATGGGGTTAATAAACCTGACCCGCTTCACAGGGAGGCTGTGAGGCTAAGCTCGTTAAAGTGTAGAAGGTGCATCAAGTCATGCTCAGCATCCCAGTCACTCCTGTAAATAAAGCCAGAACCACCCTGAGACATGAAAATAGGTGTCTGAAAGCACTGGGAGTAGGAGATGGTTGGGGGGGGGGGGGTCTCTGCACTTAGGAGGCCTATGTTTGAAGCGCAAAATCCTGACCCACGACCCAGCCCGTCTGCCCCAGCCTAAACGTCCACTTAGGAAGCACTGGCATGTCAAAAACACAAAACGTGAGCAGTACACAAATGAGGCCTTTAGCCCAGGCAGCTGCCCTCTGGATTCCAAAGCTGCAATTAAAGGTCTGCACTGCTGGTTGGGAATTCATCCTTTAATAGGCAGTAACAGCCAGGACCCCACCCAGGGCCCCACCCAGGGCCCCGCCAATAGCCAGCTCATTGTGAAATGCTTCCCTGGCATTGCTTGGGAGAACAGAATCCCTGCCAGCAGCAGCAGCTTTGCGGCAATCTGAGCAGCTTCACCGCAGCCCTGGAAGTCACGGTTTTTCCATTGTGAGGGACGGCGCCGCAGTCTGCAGCTGGGATATTTTTGGGAGTCAGGTTTTGCTGCACCCCACGTCAAAGTGGCAGGTTTGACGGCATATTTCTTATCAGAGAAACTGGAGCAGGAAACTGGAACAGGAGCCTGCAATTACAGGTTCAGGAAACGTGGCTGTTGCCAGTAGGTTACATTTCATCAGCACTTGTGCCAATTGCCTCTGGTACAGGCTGTCTGGTGAAGCAGAGATTTGCAGGGCTGCATCTGGCACATCAGTGTTCAGAAATAGCCATATTTCCTGCTACTTGCTCTCCATTGGCAATAGACAGGGCCAGTGGGTCAGGGAGATTTCCCGACACTCCTGTAACCTAGCACATCTAGGGAACTTTTACAGGTTGTTTTCTGTTAATAGGCCCGTCCGTTTCCTGTTCCTACCTGAGCAGGAATGAGAGTACTTGGCACAGAGGGGTCTGGGGTGCACCATCTGGACCCCAGATGAAGTGCCTGAGATACCAACGTTCTTCTGAACAGAGTTCTTTAGCTTTTGGTTTCTTCCAGTGGTTCATAGCAAGAGGGTGTGAGGAGGGAATCTGAAGAATAGGGACAACACTTTTTTCCTCCAGGCCCTATCAGCTTGCAGAGAATATCTGTGCGGCCTACTCTGGATGAAATCAGAGTGGAGGAGATGAACATCTCTCTGATCCTGAAGGAGACGCAGCCTTGCACTGCTCTGTAGCCTGGGTCTCCCTCAGGTAACACAGTCTGCCAGCTCTAGTCACTTGCTAGTTTTTCCATACTGGTCATTCTGCTCCAGCCTGGCTGCTGTAAGTTTGGGAGCAGTTCAAGCCTCCCATTTCTTAACGTGTCCTAGGAAGTGCCCTGTTCTTGCTAGCACTTTGGAACAATCACATTAGAGAGAGCTCCTGGAGAATCCACTGCAGACGTCACACCGACTCAGGTCACCATGGAAAGTTTCTGCACACATAGGCGGATGCCTGGCCATGCCAAGAGTATCTGTTACCTTGCTTGTTCTTTCATACTGGGTGGGAGGGAGGGAAGAGAAACAGAACAGGTTTGTGGTTTGGCTTTGCATTCCTGGCTCTCTGGGCTGGTCAGAGGAACTGAACCCCAAGCTGGTTTAAGAGCAGGTTAGACAAACACCCGTCAGGAATGGTTTAGATTATACTTAGCCCTGCCACGAGTGCAGGGGACTGGACTAGATGATCTCTCGAGGTCCCTACCAGTCCTATGATTCTATGATCACAACAAAGGCTGCAGAAGCAAGTACTGAAAAGAACCCATCAGGCAGGACAAAGAGAAACTCCCGAAGTTACTGAGAAACTCACACAATAGCCTTTACTCCAAAGGATGCTGAGGATTCCCCTCGGGAAACTCAGCCTTTTTTAATGATCACACATTAGGCCGCTCCCATCAAACCAGGACATTTAATTACAGCTTTGCCGATGCACAGATTTCAGGCCATTATGATAAACTATTCTGACCTCTTACACAAGGCAGGCCAGAGCTTCCCTCCAGTAACTCCTGCACTGAGCCCCATCACTTGTGGCTGAGTTAGCACATAGCTTTTAGCAGGAAGTCCGATATGGTTTAAAGATTCCAAGTGGCTGAGAAGCACCATGTACCTGCAGAGGTGTTCCAAAGAAACTCTCGGCTTGCTGATTGCATGCAGACTCTTCAGAGGTATTGAACTCCCTGCTCTGCACAAGGGATTTCCACAGAGTGAAAATCCAGCCAATAGATTGCACCCAACGCTGTGATCAGTTAAGCATTTCAGAACAGATGGTAGGTGAAGGCCAGGGACTCCTTACCTGGATGAGGATGTAGTACCAGAGAACGTGGATTTCCCAGAAGTAGGCCAGGCCAAACAAGGAAGTGAACAGTCCACTCAGCACCATCCCTCCCGACAGGTAATAGCGCAGTGGGAGGCGCTCACCAAAGATGCCGCTGCACAGAGGAGGGGAAAGAGCATTAACAGCCACCCACATGCACCCTGCCAGCTCAGCAATGCTTTACACAAGGGCTGGGACATGCTTATGGAAGGCTACAGCTTCCCAGCTCTGTGAAATGCGAGGCCCATCTCTGCATGCAGCGAGGCTGAGGGGGCTGTCTGAACTCCAGAGACACAGAGCTACTTTCCTCCCAAGCAGGAACAAAACCCAGAACCAAACCCAAAATGCCACCCTGATCCTCTCACCCTCCGAGCAGAATGAGCCTTAGATGCGGCCTTCTATCTCTTCACCATGGCACCTTCCTAATGTTCAACTCTTCGAGTCCCCCTCCCCTCTCAATGGCTCTGGTTGTCTCGGTGTGGAGTGCTGGCCAGTGCTGAAGTCATATCTCACAGGCATTGGGCCAAGTTATCATTTATGTGCCGTGCTGGCTGAGGCCAGGTGCCGTACGTCACCAACCCAATGCAGTGTCCCCAGGACAGACCTAGTATGTGGTCTCCTCCCACCTGCACCCAGACCGGAGACCACCCCGCCATCCCACTCAGCCCAGATCAACACAGAAACCAACCTGACCTCTCAAACAGGCTGGACACATTTCAGATACAAACCCCTGAAGCTGCCGTCACAAACAGCAAACTGATAAGAAACCTGCTAAAGTGTCCACAGCCTGTAGCACCTGTGATGAATGTTATTTACCAAGCTGGAGCGCAAGTCATTTCTTATCCCCACAGGGTTAGTTTCCGGGGTAGGGGAAGGGCAAACGCCACCCAAAATCATCATCATAACCCAACCACAAGCTCCAATAGAGGGAAAAGTCTGCATTCTAGGAACAGAACAAGGTGGCTGAAATTCCAAGCTAGGGCTACACCGATTCCACTGGCAGCGAAAGCCAGAGTCTAAGGGAAAGGGAAGGGTCTGTACAGACCAGTCAGCTAGGGCGCTTGGAATCACTGGGCTGAAGCAGGCAAGAGAAATGGGGATCAATTTATTCTCAGTGCCGGGAGGCCAGTTCAAAGTTTGTCTTCCCTTCGTCTTGCTGGACAAGAGACGTGACCAAAGAGCACTGGTGCTGCAGCTTTTTGCCAGGGTCTAGCTCCCTAAGGGATGTTCCACTTCTTAACAATCAGTCATTGGCATTATACAGCACCATTCACCCAACACATTCCAGAATGGTTTACATCAGCTTCATTCATCACTGAAATGCAGCCACTTCTGGGGTGCAAGGTAGCAACATCGGCTATGCTACATGTCCTGTGCTTTTGAGGCTACCAGGGACATGTAGGAAGCCAGAATCAGACTGTCTGGCCCAGCTTTTGTCCAAGACACCATCATTGAGCCAGGGAAAGATACCACCCCGACGCAAGAGCCAGTACACCTGTTGGCAGCTATGCAGTTGGAAAGCTCTCATGGGGTCTGTGGAATGGAGGTGATCACAGTGAGGCATCTGGGGGAGGATTTGAGATGTAACCATCTCCTCCCCACATGCTGGTGGTGCTCGGAAGTCCATACCTGATAAACATTCCAATGGCATAGGCAACCAAGAAGGCGTTGTCCAGGGCACCAAAGAGCTCTTTGTAGTTAGCCTGATCTGGAAAACAGGTGACAATGCTCTTTAACATGCTGGTTTCTGCCTGCAACAGGCTGGAATAGCAAGACTCCCAACTGCAGTCTCTGCCCGCTCTCCCCACCTCAGCACCGCGGGGATGCTTCAAGACCTGGAAGGTGGGCTTGCTGCTAGCTATATTTTCAGGGTTTAAGCCTATATATTTTAGAGAAGCCCTGCATCTCATTCACATCCACAGAGGATATTGCTCTCTCCCACTCCCGCCCCAATGCAGGTTACCGCTTTGTGCTCCCAGCAAGGCTCAGAGACCCTCAGAGCTGAATTGCCGAGTGCCTCACTCACTGCTTCAGGGATCAGATTTTTAAGAGCAGAGCAGAACCTTGTGTATTTAAACATTACCTCACTGCTCTTCACCCCACACTCCCAAAAACAAAGTATAATTATCCCCATCTACCAAAGGGGACTGAAGGTACGAAGAGGGGATGGGACAATGCAGCAGAACTGGGATTCAAACTTGGGACTTTGCCTCCTGAGCTCATTCCTCCAGGCCAGTGATTCTCAACCAATGCGAGAGGAAATGAATGAGGCATTGACTATGTTCTTACAGTCTAAAGCACAGAGGCTCTCTCCCCCACACCTCCTGACCCTTCAAGGGGAAGTGTTCTCGGTCAACCTCTCAGCAAGAGGAAGTGTTCTCGGTCAACCACTCCATTCCATTGGCGTGGCGCTGTACGCATGGCGATGCTTTTCACACTCTTTTACAGTAAATGTAAGAGTTTCAAAAACGTTATTTTGAGTAAGGGGTGCCAGCCTGAAAAGGTCGAGGAGCATGGTTCTAGGCCGTGCTAAGCCGCACTGCTTTCAGAAACGACACCTTCTCTGAATGCCAGGACACCCCACTATGGTGCCAGCTCTGGCGGCTTCTGTTACATGCCTGTTTTCCACTAGGCACCTGCCCTTTGTACCGGGGACATGAGGCAAAAGCACACTGGGCACTGCTCAGCTGGTTAATGGCCTCCAATTGGCTCTGATTAGCAACTGCCAAACCCAGGTGCTCCGGGAACCCGACCCTCAGCTAACGTGCTAATGAGACTCATAAGTACGTTGTAAACACATTAAGGCTCCTGAGGAAGGTCATTAATCACGTTACGAGTCTATTTGCCAGAGCACTGCCAATTCTTAATATTTGATCGGACTTCCTGGGGTCACAGTCTAGGGCGGAGGCACACAGGCTCAGTCATGGCTTGCTCTTGGAGAAGGGGCTGGGGCCCCAACAGGCAATGCAGAGGCACTGGAAATTGCTGGCCCCAAGGGCTGCCCAAGCAGCACTCCGACAAAGCCAGGGTGGCAGCAGCAGCATGGGGAGTGTGGCAGAGGGACATGGACAGGCTAGGGGCAGATAATGAGGGCTCCCAGCCAGGCAGTCTGAGCAGTCTCTGTAATTTCTGCCCAGCCAGTAGAGCCTCCCACCCAAACACCTTCCTGGAGACCTTGGACCAAGTGACTTGCAGCTACCTGGGCACTGAGCTCAGAGGTGAAGCTGTCCTGGCTGCCCCCAGCACACGAGGGAAGGGAGCTGTGCTCGCCTGCGCTCTTTGCAGCTCAGAGCGCAGCCGTCCAGAGGAGCTGGGTGGGAGGCCCACGGCACTCAGTCAGGAAGCTCTTACCAAAGGGAGCCCAGTCACACCACGTGGTGCTGTTGGTGCCATTGGGGGGAATCATTCCTGGAGAAGTGCAGTTGGTGTGCAGCTCGCTCTGTGGACCGAACAAGGAAAGAAAAGGCTGAAGAGTCCAGGTCTCCTTCAAAAGGCATCTTCACACAAGACCAAGAGGCAGCTCCCGCTTCTTGTTTCCCTCCTGCACACACTCACACTGCTCACCCCACAGCCTGTCCCCAACCCAGCACCTCCCAGACATCCCCCCCGCCCCCATGTGCTCTCTGCTTCTCCATGCCCTCTGGCTACCCCGCCCCCACCAGCTAGTGCCTTTTAAGCACCCTTGGTACCTAGGATACCTTGACTGAAGTCTCCCTGATGCTGCTTGTCCACGTTTCAGGCACCAGGAATGGTGTGAAACCCTGTGTGAAGGTTTGAACCTACACGACACAGATCCTCCTCAAGGGAAAAGCCTTGCCAGAGTGACTGAGGATCTGAGAAGCCGCCCAAAGAGAGAATCTGGAGAACTTTTCTTCCTGACCCTCGCCCAAACATCTCTTAATAAAGCGCACTAGGATGAGACACTAGTGCACCAGGCCAATGGCTGCAAGCAGCTCACTGCTGGCTGTGGAGGTAATGGTGAGACCAGGCCACTGGCAGGGTGCAGGTACTGGCGCATGGGGGGTTGGGGGAGGGGGCGGAGGCCTGCAATACCATCAGACTCATGCATTAACAGTGGGTTGGGGAGCTGGCCAGAACAGGACTAATTACAGAAGCAGAAGTCATGAGCATAGGGCCACACTACGTGTTACGCTCCAGGTACAGCACTTACCTTCACAATGCTAATGGGTTTGCGAGAGAGATGGAAACTGGCATAAAACAGGAATGTCAGCACAAGCGTTAGCCCCCGATACCTGAGTGGGGGAAGAACAGGAAACAGCACAAGTGAGCGAGACAAGGCATTAAAATGGAGAGGAGCCAGATCATTAGCACCAGGGTCAGGGATAGCGCAGTCACAGTCGGTGCTAGTCACTGCTCTGCCAGGTAAGAGCTGGGGACAAGCCTGACCCCTTTCCCCACCATCATGGAGCAAGGAGACTCTGCGGACACGTGGGCAGGATCCTATCCACAACCCTGACCCACGAGCTGGAAGAACTCCACTTCCCATATGTAGAGGTCCAGGGGAGCATGGCCTGAACATGGCACTGGCTCGACTTTAAGTGGGTCTGAAACAAGCTTCCACCCCATTCCAGAAACCCTCAGCTGACTGGAGCACCACTTCTTTCATCACACCCCTGGGGCTGCAGAGCCAGGATACTGGTGGGATTGGGCCATAGAAGTTACATAGGTGAAAGAGACACAGATGGGCTTAATCCACCCACCTATGATGCTAGGTGGAACGAGTTAGTTCCAGCAATCTCTATATTTAAAATTCCGTAACTGGTCCCATTCTAAGGGATTCTTCGGACTCGGAGACGTTCTCACACCCATTTGCAGAAAGCCTTTGATATTTAGCAGTAGAAATTCCTTCCATGACACAAATGCCTTTTTCCTTCTCCCATGAAATGCTGAACTGAAATGTATGAGCTATAAACCGTTCAGTCTCCATTTCCCTTCCCACACTCGTCAGGGAAGTGTTGTCATCAGGTATCATCTAGGAAGGCTGCCAACACCCGATTCACAATGCCACGGTGGCAGCAGACATGCTGAGAGGGCCTGGAGCTGCAAGAGCAGCTGTAAAATTTGACGGTTGGTGATGTGGGGGTGGGGAACATGCGTGTGGAGGGGAGGGAAAAGAGCAGAGCTGCCTGGATTCAGCATCTGGCCCCAGGGACACATTTCTCCCTCCCTTGGGGACACCACATTCAGCCGCGTATCAGAGGGGTAGCCGTGTTAGTCTGAATCTGTAAAAAGCAACAGAGGGTCCTGTGGCACCTTTGAGAATAACAGAAGTATTGGGAGCATAAGCTTTCGTGGGTAAGAACCTCACTTCTTGCATCTGAAGAAGTGAGGTTCTTACCCACGAAAGC